GGTTGTATCAAAAGTAAAATGCCAAAACTTTCGGGGTACATATGCTCCCTATTAAAGTTAAGTTAGTTTCAACTATATGACAATGTCTTCTTTCTACAATTCTACTTTGTTCAATGTAAGGGAACATAATATGATGATTAATCCTAATTGTTTTAAAAATTGTATTAAGTGTTTGAAATTCTCCTCTCCAATAAGTTTGAACATCTTTTATTTTTCAATCAAATTTTCTTTTAACTAACTTTTGAAATTGAATAAAAATATCATATACGTCTAATTAGTTACAAAGGGGATAAAACCATATAAATTTAGAAAAATGATCAATAAAAATAATATAATATGTGTAACTATCACTAGAAAGGATAGACGATGGTCCTCATACGTCACTAAAAATTAAATCTAAAATACTAGTACATGAATGATAGGAAACTTAAGACATGTTTCAAATCGATGCACTCTTAGACAAAATTACATTATCATATGTTACTTTTAATTACAAATTACAAGTATTTATTTATTGAAATATAAATATTATGTACTTAAATTTTAGTATTTATTTACTAAAAATTTAATCACGATAAAATCTTTTATGCTATTTTAGTAATATTTACTTATAATATACAATCATAGAAAAAATCAACTCTTAGATTTTCCTTTTTTTCACCCCTGGAAACGCCCAAAGTTATTTTTCTTGACATGAATGATATTGTCGTATGCAGCCAAAAAAATAATGTTGTGTGTCCTAATTTGTCAACTACCATAGCTAGCCTCTTCTCAATAAATAAAATAAAATGCATAAAGACAAGCAAGGTGATGAATACCAAGTATACTACCAAAAAAACAACAATGAAAAGAAAGAAGGAACCACCACCTTGTTCCCCCACTGTCGCGCGGGCGGGCGCTGTGGATTTGTTTATAAAAAAATAGTTATTGATTTTTTTTTATATTAACGTGTAATTTTTTTGATTAATTTATCTTAATTAATTTAATTTCACATCATAATTTATATTATATTTTTCTAAATTCTTTAAAACAAAAATTTAAGTTTAAAATTGATGCTCTACACTTTAAAGGAAACACAATTTCTCTAATTGGAAAGCATTTTATTCCTAAATTTAAAATGGGAAGTCATTCTCATTATTAAGAATAATCTTTTAATTGTTAAGTTTTTTGTCAAATAAAAATCTCAAGTGGCAGCATTCTTACGTTGAATGGCCCTAAGTACCTGTGGTACCAACAATAATACTGGTGATTTGCCTAATCCTCTTGAGACAGAAGTCTTTTCAGCCACGAAAGGCTAATAGTTTAGTTAGCTATCCAAAAATCTAATGGAACGTAGACATATGGATGGTGTAAGAAAAATATAATGATGGATTCACTTTCAAAAGTGATGGCTCAATGATAGCTATCCTTATTCTTCTGTTAGGTCACTCATCTAGCTGTATGACTTTTACTAAAAGGCCCCTCTTTATTCTCTCTAAAAATGATAATAAAGTTATTGGTTCGACAAGCATTTATCACTAAGGTAGAAAAGTGGTTAGACCCAAGTTCTCTAAATATATCATGTACTCTCTGTACGTGTCTTAGATACACAACATGACAATCTTTTTCTCATCAAACTTCTCTTAAATGTCCAGGATACGATCTCAGAATAGTTCAATGTACTTTAGCAAACCCTCTCTAAAGCCTTGGCATTATTTCTCAAGATCAGATACTGTCACTCTCTTATGCGTGGAGAAAAATTTATTGATAAATAATTTGCACATACTTGCCCATATCTACATAAAATCAAAGGCCAAATTCATATAGTAAGTGTTTGCCTTATCGATCAAAGACTTGAAAATTTATTTGAGCTTCAAAACATCATCGTTGTGCATAGATGTTTTGGTCAGTGATTAGCATTCTTCTTGAAGGTTTTGAAAGAGGCCATTGTTACTTCACTTTCACTAGCTTTTAAATAGAGTCATCAAAATGAGTGGAGAGTTCTTGAGAATAAATCAATGACAGATCAACAGACTTATCAAAATACTATGAAATAGTATTGTGATTTATAAAAATAATAACTCATTAATCAAGTAGAAAAAGAGTAAGTAGTGAGAGATATGAGAGAAAGAGGAAACAATGCTAGTAAGATATAAACGGAGTGGTATGTGGATGAGTGGTCAAAAGTCTAAACGAAATAAGTTTTGGGAGTTATGTGGTGTAAGCATGATAGAGTTTTTAGATAAGTTAAAGTTTGTTTAGAAAAATATAAGCCAAAAAATTGAAATCCTCTCACAATTCATATGATATTAGTGTTTATAATGAAATGACGATGGGTTTTGACTCGTTAGGATCGCATCATATCAATCAAGTTTAGACGATAGAATTTGATTCATACAAAATGAGTTTTTTTTTTTGTTAGAATTACTTCAATTTACTAGCAAAAGTGAAAAGAAATAATAATTAGACCTTTATTTAACCGCTCCTACTCCAAGCTCATCTAATATTTCTCTTTAATTCATTATAATGATAAGGAATGAACATTAACCCTATTATAATACATGTGTCCACCCTTATGATACTAAAACCTCATGTTGTGTAAAGTTTATCGTCAATCTAATTGGTTTGTTGTAGAGGTTAGACCCCATATATATATATATATATATATATATATATATATTAACACATAATTAATTAAATTATTTGGTTGATTTTTTATGGACAAATTGAGCACATACAAAATCAAATCTCAAAACTAATCCTTTGAAACTTGGCCTTTTTGTTTTTAACGTAAAACAAGTTCGAATTAACATAAAGCAAGGTTGCATAATCTAAAAACACAAAAAAGTTTTACAAGATTATTTATATAAACATCAATTATGAGATTAAAAAAATTAAATTATAAACAACATGATTTAACATAATCCGAGAGACTTAATGCATAACTTTATTCTTTCCTTTTGTCATTATTATTATTATTATTTTCAAAGATAACAATTCTATTCAATTAAAATTGAAAAAGATTTATAGTTATGAATCAGAAGCTACTCCAACCTCATCTAGTATGTCTCTTTAATGCATTATAACGATAAGGTATGAACAGTAATCCTATCATAATACATGTGTCCATTCTTATGATACTGAAACCTTATGCTACATGAAGTTTATTGTCAATCTAATTTGTTTGTTGTAGAGGTTGGACTCCTATATATATTATTTGGTTGATTTTTTATAGACAAATCAGGCATATATAAAATCAAATCTCAAAACTAATCCTTTGAAACTTGGGCCTTTTTTTTTTTTTAAACATAAAGCAAGTTTGAATTTGAAACTTTTTTTTGTAAAAAAATAAATACTAATATCAATTGAACTATATGCCATTAGTGCAAGGTTGCATAACCTAAAAACACACAAAATTTCTACGAGATCATTTATGTAAACATCAATTATGAGATTAAAAAAAAAAATTGAATTATAAACAACATGTTTTAACATTATCCGAGAGACTTGATTAAAAACTTTATTCTTTTTTTTCCATTATTATTATTATTTTCAAAGATAACAATTCTATTAAATTAAAATTGAAGAATATTATTATTTATAAATCAGAAGCCAATCACAAAACAAAAGAATTTTATATGAAAAGAATATGAAGTGAATGAAACACGCTAACATGCTACTATAAGGGTGCTTAGAAACATACAATAACATCCTTATATGTAAACTAAATATCTAGGATTCAGATCTAAAAATTATAACAACTATTATACAAATGAACATTTCACCACTAACTTTGCTATACTTTTTTTTTAACCTAACCAATAGATTCGACTATTAATTTTTTAATACTCTATGCGAAACTTACATCAAATAAATGGATAACTATAAAAGACATCATTATATCTACTAGAAAAAAAAATACTAAATTTAGGATTATTAAAAAAAAAATGATACGGCAGCTCTGGAAAAAGTTCAAGAGTCTTTCAAAATTAAAGAAAGAAAAACTTTTGCGAGAGTTTTATAATAAAAATATTTTAATCAAATCAAATTATATTTTGTCGTTATCTCGATGGTAACGCAATAAATTAATCTGATAGTACCACGAAAGTTTATATCACGTGGATGGATGCTTATTCATTGCGGTCGCCAGGATGGAAAACGACAGGTCGATAAAAAAGATGAAAAGATAGAAACCATCGGTTTATACGGCCAGCAAGGCAGCAAACTTTTAAAAAGTAAAAATAAAAAACGAAAACAAGGTGGGGTTCATTTTTTGTTTTGAAACCGACAGAAGTATTTTCGGAAGAGGCTATAGTTGGGCCTTACTTTGGACCGCTCCCTAGGCTACAGCTCGGGCCATGGGAAACCCAAATATAATTCCTCATGTTGCCATGTATTATTGAGATTAAGAAATTATTATTACATGGATGAATATATTAATATTATTACAAGTAAATAATATTTCCGAGATCCACTGCCCATGAACAATAAAATCACTGTACATCCTCTTTTGGTTCTTTTTATCAATATTAATGTATCTAATAATTTTCTTCAAATGAAATGAAGTTTAAATTCTAATAATTTCAGTTTTTCAATTTTCAATTTTAATTATATAATAAGAGAAAGCTACATTTCCTTAAGTAAAATTTAACCCAGTTGCAAATTGTTGATATTAGGAACTGAAAGCAAAATTCTTGTAGCAGATGGAGGGACAAAATCTGGCAGAAGTTAATCCTGTTTTGTCCGATGCTCATGAACAATCGGGCAAAATGTGTGAGAAATTCATTATAGATATGACAATTAGGTTACCATACATCATTACCCACAAAAAAAAAAAAAAAAAAAAAAAAAAAAAAAAACGAAATGTAACTGCATGTATTGCAATAATCAGTACTGAAAATTCCGAAATACAAAAGCTCAAAAATTCAACATCTCACTTTGAATTAAAACCCTTATTTGTCCAATCAATCTGACTCTAAACATACAAAAAAGAAAGAAAGAAATTTATCAAACAAAGAATATCAAAAGATATGGTGGTCGTGGTGGTGGTCGTGGTGGTCATCCAATCCAAAGCAACGCAACAGAGGGTAACAGGCTGCAAATAGACATCTCCCAAATCCTCTCAACATGGAAGAAACTAGCAAGCAAGGGCAGCAGCAGCAAGCCAACAAAGGATCATCATATGGGCTGTCTCCATCACGGTGGTGGTGATGGTGATGATGCCCCATGATCTTCTTTACCCAATAAAGCTACACACAAAAAAAAGGAAAAAAAAAACATAATTCAAGAACCCTTTTCCTTAACAAATACATTTGATTTCCATTCGAAGAAATTGTAGTTGAAAAACGAACCTCGTTTGTATATTTGTAGGCTGTAGCACTTGTTCTTTTTCTGGTGTGTCAACAACGATCTGCTCCAACTAGAAGATAGGTTTAAGAAAGAAACAAGAATTGAATTGCTTTCTATGAGGGAGTTGAATGCTTGAGAAATTTGATGCCCAAACCCTCAAGAGGAGATTCTGACTTCTGTATGAATAAAAAAAATAAAAGCCTAACAGCCCAAGGAGCCAACTAAACTGAGTTGCAAATCGATGGAAAGAGAGTGCTTAGCGTGACTAAGGATTCTCTGCGTTTCTCCTTATAATTGCCGTCCGTCTTATCTACATTAATTGAATTATTCTCTCGTCCCTATTTTTAACCCTGATAATCACTTAGTACTTTACGTTTCAAAATATATAATTTTATCCGTTGACTCCTTTTTTTAACGATTGTCTTATTAAAACATTTGTCTTTTTTTCTACATCCCAATTGTGCATTTGAATTTTAAATTCCTAGAGAAAAAACAACATGGTGGAGGCTAGAGAAAATCGAGAAGTTTAAATAAGAGATCGGTTAACATGAGTCAAGGGATTAAGTTATAGATTTTCAAGAATGAAGGACTAACTTATAATATTTTTCATAAATTAGGGACTAAAACTAGTAAAATTACTTTCCTTTTTTTATACCATTTTCGCCTCGTTAGACCCGCTGGAATATTTAATGGACCTTCCAAGTTGGATGGAGGACACGGCTGGGTCCATTAATGGACTACACCTACTTCCACCCAAAATAATGTTTTCCACGGACTATAACTTAGTCACTTATGTCTAAAAACTTATAACTTAGTCCTTGACTCTTGTTGATTATTGTCCTATCAAAACATATGATGGTTTTTTTCTTAATCCCAAATGTACCTTTTGGTAATTAAAATCTTAGATAAAACCAACATAATGAGAGTTTAGAAAAAGTGCCAACCGATGCTTTAGAAAGGACAGCGGTCAACAATGATCAAGGAATTGACGTTTATGTTTTAGGATATAAAGGACTAAGTTATAATTACTTTAAAAATCTAGAGACTAAAGAAAGACCATTTTTTTCTTTTTATACAGGAAATGTATCGAGTTTCAATCTCACCTGAAAATCTTCCATTTCCATAGCATTCATAAAACGGTCCATATTATTCAGTTTTTATTTGTTTATTGTTTACAAAATTCCGCACACTGGTCTTAACGTACCCAGAGAAATTTTATGCTATTCAAAGAGAAATTACTAATATTTATTCTACAACAGTGATAGATATAAGGAGAAGAGAAAAAATAGAAATATTTTTATTATTTTTAATGGTTCTGAGCGTGATTTTTTCTCCTTTTGTCTTTACTCTTCTCAAAATAAACCTATAAAATTGATAGTTGCTTTTATAGTATTTTAAAATTTCTATATACACGTAGACTTAACTAGCAATCTCTCTTTCAATTCGAAGATGAGGTGATAACATGAAAGAAGATACGCTTTTAACACCAAGTTGATGGACATTGTTGTGGCAACTAATCCTCTAATTACAAGCAAAGGGAAACCGTCCACACATGCATGGCACATAAACCTTGAAGCAGAAAGTCCTTTTCATATTTGTTAAAAAATATGAAATAAAATAAAATAAAATAAAAGGTTCAAAAGTGGAATTGTTTGCATCTATCACTGTTGGAAATCGACCATGGATGCATGTTTTATATAAACAACATAAGCAGATTCTTAAGAATTAAGCTATCCTCACGCGGATTCACTTTACAAAGATAGATTTCTTCTATTCTAATTCATCTTTTCTCAATCTCCAATCCACATCCAAAAGCAATACATTCTCTCTGTCTCATTGCCTAAAATCTAATTCATATCAAACTCGAATCTAATTCATAACAGAAAAACCAGGAGATAATTCAACAAAAATAAATAAAACAGAGAGAAAAGAGGTCTTGTGTGTCTTTTAAGGATGATTTGAACACAATATGCGGAGTTCTTTTATGCAGATAATATAAGAACTCGAGCATCAATTTCTCTGTCTCAATGCCTAAAATCTAATTCATATCAAACTCTTCTAACTCCGTATTTCATTCACAGATGCTTTGTACACAACAGAAATTGCATACCAGGATTTACAGACGAATTCCTGGATATGCAGTTAAGCGTCAATCTGATTCACCTTTATGGGATAACATTCATCTATTCTCGCTTATCCTCCTCAAGATCTTCAACAAGTGCATTCCTTTCCAGCTTATTTGCAACATCCCCAGTTGTCAATGATATACCCTCCTCGTCAAAGTCCTCCCCCTCTAAGTATGCATATCTGCAGGAGCACACCCAATTAGAAGTAGCACGTTACATATCTATTTACTGATAACAACAAACAACATATTTATTATGACTAAATTTTACTATTTTGGTTCATATCATAGTTTTAAATTGCGGGGACGAGGTTGAAAAAGCGGTTGCAGTTACGATCGTAGATTGCAGCTTACTGCAGGAGTAAACTAACAGTCACGGCTGTTATATAACGCTGAATAACGGTGCCAGGATGCCCCAAAACTGTTATATAATGGCAGTTACGTTATGTAATGGCTGTTATTTAAATCTATGGTTCATATAACGAATAAATAGGCAATGCAAAATGGTCAAAATCTACACCTAGTAAAAAATCCAAGAAAAGGGAAAAATGCTTAATGATTTGTTTTTTTTTCTTTCCTGGGCATAGGATTTCCACAGTTTCAATTTCTATACCACAGAAATAACCAACAGAATTTAGTGTAAGAGTCGTACTATTATTTTCCATAAGTATACTGCCAATGATTACCTCTTGAAGCCAGGACTTCCCAAAACTTAGATAAGGATACTATCCTATGTCCTAACAAGGCATCTCAAGCAACAGCAGACCTACTTTAATAACTGAATTCATCTTCAGTCCAGATTTATGTAAATGACAAGCCGTCAGCAGACTCACTCTAATTATTGAATTCATCTTCGGTCTATATTTATGAAAATTACAAGCCTTCCACTGCCCATAAAATACATAAATCTCACTTTATTCTTCTTTATTACAAAAATCTTGTAAATGGAATGAAAAAGTGAGAAAGAAGGGAAAAATGAAGGACAAGACTGCAAGAATTACGCAGAGATTTAACAGTTACCAGAGAACAACAAGAACAAGAAATGGTTTTCTTTTTTCTTCAGGGCGTAGGATTTCCACTATTTCAATTTCTATATCACAGAATAACCAACAGATCTTAGTGTAGGAGTCGTGCTATTTTTAAGTTTAGTACAGCTCCAATTCACATAAATATCAGTTTCAAGTTCATGAAGCAGCATGGATTCCAATTCAGAACAATGTTAGCAATACCAAAATCCCTAACAGCAGAAAAAAAACCAAGGTCCTGCCTGAAATGCAAAAGGCCAAATGAACCCACCATAGCCCAAAAAATTTAGTCTGAAAAGCAGAAAACAACAAAAGTGAAGGTGAAGTCAAAGTACCTAGTTGTGTTCCGTGAAGGAGCCCAGAGAACACATATCACCACCAAGAGAAAGTATGCAAGCAGAGTCCAGAAAGCAGGGATGATCCAAGCAACTTGCCACAGCTCACTTAGCGGATCAGTTGCATTGAAGTATAGCTGAGAAAAGGTAGGCCAGAGGAAGAGATTCTTTAATAAATACATCACCAAATAATATAGCTATCAAATTTCAACGTCAGTAAAGACCAAAGAATAGCTAATTTAGTGACTAGAACAAGAAAAGAAATATTACCTCAAAACCAATCCAGGCAATGGAGAGCAGTGTAGACACTGCAAGGGCATTGGTAAACTTCCGGTACAGTTCTAACTTAGCCATGTTTCTCTTCATCTGCAGTCACAAAACAAGGGCAAAAAGGTAGAAAAGAAAGAATCATGTCAAAGTGCAATAAGAAGATGTTACCAACAGCAATTCAAGGGCAGAAAGACAACACCCTCCAATCATTTTTCACACATCCACACACAATAAACAGCACCAAGATGTGCATCCACCCACCCAAACACACAAATTCATAGATTTATTTTATAACTGGGACATCATCAGTGAATAATTCACTACATCAAAATTTGAAAAAAGAGGTAAACCAAGGTAATTACCTGAAGCTTCTCTAAAGTTTTTGATAGTGATGAGAAAATCCAGAGAATAAAGCAGGAATCTAGGAAGACAACTGGAAGCACCAAAAACACCTTTGTTTTCTTTGAAAAGTCATTGATGTTTCCCAGATGTTCAACGAGCTCAAGTGCCTCAGAAGCAATAAAATACACCAAACCAAGAAGAAGCACCTTTGATGTTATGCCACCAAGGGTTGGCCTAACCACACCAAAGCCCATTGAGACAACCAAAAGAAGAAGGCGGGATAGAGTCTTCTTCACAGTGGTAAAGGTTACAGCCCACAATGTAATACCCATCGGTCTCAATCCAGTCGAATTAAAATTGGCATATTCAAAATACCAAACAGCCATCTCGCACATTCCAAGAGCAATAACTGCTGTAATGTGGTAATGCAACTGTATAATATCCTTCCAAAATTGAACAAACCTTAAGAACCATGCTAATCCAAGCACAAGATAAGCTAAAGACATAATTCCAAAGACTGTCATCAAAGGAGTCATCTTTCCCGGCAAATAACCATTTGGGTTCTTCCACACAGTCCTTCCATTAATCAACGTCCCCTTCAATTCCGGATTACAAAACATAAAATAAAGATAGTACATTCCATTACTTTTTATCTCAACTTCCTCAGCTTCCATTTTTGCTTCTTCACTTTTCCCCGCAAAGTAAGTCTTAATAACCCTAGGCCAGTCAGGATCATCCGGATTCTTCTGTAAAATCACCTCCCCTAACTTGCAAGAACCCGTCTTTGCAAGTGTGCTATTACAACATATAGCATTAGTCTTCAAAAATGCCCCTCCAATCCTCTTCCTATCTTTCACATCAAGTATGATTGCTTCAACCACTCCAGTACTCTGCTGCATTTCCTCTTGCCGACTTGCTGACTCTTTCGTCCTCCTAAACGTCACCCCTTCAAACCTAAAAATTCACAACCACATTTACATTTCCTTACACAACCAAAACCTAAAAATTCACAACCACATTTACATTTCCTTACACGACCAAAAACAATCACAGGGCTAATCTTCAGTTTAATATTTGTCGGTCAATCATGCGGGACCCACAAACACTTAAATGTGATCAATACTCGATGCAACGACTGTACTTAACATCAAGAAATCACAAATATTAAACCCATTTCACTCCATCCTCCTAAAAATTAACAACACTAATCACCAAATCTAGAAATTTAATGAAACCCCAGAAATTGAAACACAAAATTGAGTAAAAAAAAAACAGTGAAACTAATAAGGGAATAAAAAGAAAATCACTCAACAAGAAAATTACAAAAAAAAAACCTGATGAAGGATTTTCCCGATTGTATGGTAGCAGATGAATCAGGAGGAGGAGGAGCTTTAGAAGCATAAAGACCTTCACTACCACCATGGAAAAAGAAGGCATTTGTCTTCGGAGTAAAAGCTTCGTTTCTATACTCGTGAATTGATCCCTTCACTGTAGTGGTGATCATGCCTAAGAAGAGTAGTAAGCTTATCCAAAACCACTCTTGACCACAAGTTTTAGCACCCCAAATTTCTCCCTGTTCCATCTCTGATTTTCTTTTCTTTTTTCAAAACCGATTTTGTCTTGCTTGCTTGTTCTCAATCTGAAGAATTCTGTTGGTGCTGTGTTGATTGGTAAAGATGCCACCAAAAGTTGACTAGATGAGTGACAACGCTGATAATGATGACACTGGACCTCAAAAAGGGCCATAAGATTTTTTTGTTTTGCTAAATGGGCTGGGCCTATGACCCTTCCTTAAAAATAAAAAATAAAAATAAAAATAAAAAATAAAATAAAAACCAACCCTACTAACAATGTTCACCATACCATTCAGACACTCAATTTAGGAGATGTTTGATAACCTATTTAAGTAGTTTAAAAAATTAAGTTGTAATACTTAATACAAAAAGTTTGTTTGATAACCTAAATAATCTCATATTAAAATTTTAAATTCAATCAAAATCTACTTAATTAGTTAAATTAAAATTTTTAAATTATTACTTTTTTATTAATAAGCTCGGTTGAAAGATTTTTTTAAATCTTTTCAAATATGACTATATCGCCTTTATATATTCTTATAACTTTAGCTATATAAACGAACTAAAAAATAATCTCTTACTTAATACAAAAAGTTTGTTTGATAACCTAAATAATCTCATATTAAAAATTTAAATTCAGTCAAAATCTATTTAATTAGTTAAGTTAAAGTTTTTAACTTATTAATACGCCCAGATTGAAATATTTTTAAAAATTTTCAAATATGACTATATTGTCCTTATATATTCTTATAACTTTAGCTATATAAACGAACTGAAAAATAATCTTTGCTATCCCCATTGCTAAAAAATTTTAATTTATTACTTTTTGATTAATATGCTAAGTTGAAAGATTTTTAAAACTTTTCAAATATGATCTGTACCGTCCTTATATATTCTTATAACTTTAGCTATATAAACTAACTGAAAAATAATCTCTGCTATTCCTATTGCTAAAACAGAGAAAACCTTTTTCCATTATCGTTGCTTTCATCCTTGGAATATGAAATGCCAAGGTCTAGTCCTATTGTAGGTAATTTTCCTTTCATTCTATTACAAGTGATTTTCCTTCATATCCGTTGATATCTTGATCTTTTTTTTTTTTTTTTTTTTGTATATATTTTTTAGAGAAAGACTTATTCTTTTTATATATTAAGCTATTTTTGTTTCTAGGTTTTGATTTATATTCCTTTGTATCTTTCTAATCCGATTATCATCAAATTTTTTTCTTTTTGTACAATTTTTTGTTGATATCCTTCAAATCGATCAAGAGTTTCATGTGGGAATTCAATTAGAGTAGGGAGTTTTTGTGATTTAGAAATATGCGATTCCTATAATAAAGGTACGATCCGGACATGAACATAGTTGAAAAATTAGCAAACTCTCTCCATTACCTTACACAGCTTTGCTTATCTTCTATCCCTTTTTGAAAATTACCTTCGTTTTCAATATAAATACCGACAAAATTCATTACATGATTAAAAAAAATATAGCAGGATCAATAAAAGAGCCTTAACTTTGCTCGTAAAAGTTGAGCGATTAACTCGTAGTTATTGTTCGGGTTTATCAATAAAATATCATATTACAATTACAAAGTTAAAATTTTATGTATACGAGTCTTAATATGTTTAGTAATAGTACTTATCAAATAAGTTTATTATATTGAGCACTTAATTTTCGGTAAATATCAAATAGCTTGTTAGGAACATATTCGGTACTTAGTTATTTAGCATTTAAAATTCAGTACATATTTGATACTTAAATTTTGCTTTTATCAAATACTAAATTACTATAAATTGACTATTCTATTGATGTTAATCCCAATTTAATAGCAACTTTATTATTCTGTTGAATAAGTCATGGTTAGTGGGTTAGTGCTCTTGGTATTATATGGAAAGTTGATCACATATTTCTATTTTCTAGGTACAAGTAAGTAGTGGCACAAAAGTAGGAGTCTAGTTAAATTTTTAGCCTATAAATAGGCATTTGTCAGTTTATAAAAGTGTACCTCTCATTGCCCTTATCAGTAACAAAAACACCTTATTTCTCCATTTATCTTGTTTTACTCCATTGTCTCTTGTCCTTTATTTTGCAACATTGGTATCAGAGCTAAAGCCATGAACGGCTCGATCCAGATTTCAGTTCCTATCTTGGATGGAAAAAATTACAATTGGTGGAATGTCCATATGAGAGTGCTTTTTGATTACAACGAATTGCTAAGTGTTATGGAAAACGGTGTTACTGATCTTGCAGAACATACAAATGATGCACAAAAAAATGCCCATCGTGAGAATAAAAAGAAGGATAAAAAGGCCTTATATTTCATTCATCAAGGAGTGAATGAAAGGGCCTTTGAGAAGATTGCTAGAGCATCCATGTCAAAGCAAGCCTGAGACATCTTGATGACGTCCTACAAAGGTGTGAAAAAGGTTAAGAAGGTAAGACTTCCAACCTTAAGGCGTCAATATGAAATCTCATAGGATGGAGGCTTCTGAAACTATTGCTGCTTACATTAGTCAAGTTCTTGCATTGACAAATCAAATAAAAATATATGGAGAGGAGTATAAAGAGAAACTCATAGTGGAGAAAATTTTATGATCATTTACATCCATGTTTGAGCATATTATGATGGAAATTGAAGAAGCACATGATCTAGCTGAGATGACTGTTGATGAATTATTTGGCACCTTACAAGCCCATGAGCAATGCATGAATGAGAAGCAGGTCCATAAGTCAATTGAACAAGCCTTCCAAGCCCAAATCTATATTAAAGGTGAGCACTATGATGAGACAAGCAAGAAGTATGGTAGTTCTCATAGGAAAGTACGAGGATGAGGTAGTCATTTCCTCAACAATAGAAGCTATGATGGTCATCACGATAACTATGGAATTGGAGGCAATCAGAATAATGAACAAGAGAAATCACACTCACACCATCAATAATATGTAAGAGGTAGAGGACATGGACATGGTAGAGGAAAGTATGACAAATCTAATATTGAGTGTTATTCATGTCATCAACATGGCCATTATTCAAGTGAATACAGGAACAAAGAAAATTTTCAACGAGCTCAATATATACAAGAAGAAGAAGATGATGATGATGACGATTATACTCTCTTAATGGTCACAGGTGCAAATGAAAGACCAGACTACCATACATGGTTTCTTGATGCCGGTGTACCAACCATATGTGTGGCCAACATAAGCTATTTATAGATTTTGATGAATCTTTTCACATTCAAGTCAAATTTACAGATGATAGTACTATGCTGGTGATAGAAAAAGGATAGATTCTTATCAACTTGAAGAATGTAGGTCACAAGTATATCTTTGATGTCTTTAATATGTTAGGAATGAAGACTAATTTGTTGAGTGTGGGTTAGTTGCTAGAAAAGAGGTATGTCATGAGCCTTTTTGATCGAAAATTCTCCATATTCGATAGAAAAGGTATACTGATTCTTAAGGCCCTTTTAGGAAAAAAATCATATTTTTCAAGTTGATATTTCTAGTGGTGTTTATAATTATGTCAATGCAATTATAACAGATGAATCTTGGCTATGGCATTTACGTTTTGGACATCTAAATTTTCACAGCTTAAAATTGCTTGTTCAAAGCAATATGGTAAAAGGAATTCCTAGCATACGTCATCCTGACCAACTATATGAAGCTTGCACTATTGAGAAGCATCGTAGAATACCTTTTACAACAGAATAGTAGCAGTATACATCCCAAACGCTTAAGCTTGTCCATTCTGATGTTTGTGGCCAAATCAATACTGTGTCAAACAATAATAATAGGTACTTGCTAACCTTCATTGATGACTTCACTCAAAAAATTTGGGTCTATTTTTTACAAAGGAAGTCTGAAGTTTTTTATTACTTTAAAAAGTTTAAGATACAAGTTGAAAAGCAAAGTGGCTATCCTATTAAAGTTTTGTATACGGATGGTGAAAGTGAATATATCTCCAATGAATTTAATAAATATTGTGAAGAACAGGGGATAAAGCATGAGGTTACCTTTCTATACACTCCACAACACAACGAAATTCCTGAACAAAAAAATAAAACTATTATGGACATGGCAAAGAGCATGCCAAAGGCCAAAGGTATGCCAAATTCTTTTTAGGATGAAGTTGTCTCATAGAAGCATGGAGAGGTATAAAGCCAAGTGTGAAACATTTGAAGGTGTTTGGTGCCACTGCCTATGCTCATTTTCCAACACTGACAAGAACAAAACTAGATGATCTAGTAGAGAAAACCATTTTTATAGGTTATAAGCATGGTGGGTATAAGTTGTTCAATCCTGTGACAAAAAAAAAAATGATTATTAGTCGAGATATAACTTTTGTTAAAGAAGAAGCTTGGGAATGGAATAAGGATACCCATAAAGAATCTTAGAAGCAGTTTTATCTCTATTCTTGGCATAAATGAAGAAGCGTCTTTAAACTCTACTCAAGATATGTCTTTATCATAAGCTCCTTCTGAATCTAGAAGGCTTTGACGATAACACCAATAACCAATAAGCTTGAGAAACTATGAGGTAATCCATGATGATGAAGCTGATGGTGATGAAGAATTGGTACATTTTGCTTTCTTTACAGATATTGAACCTGTGGCATTTATGGAAGCACTCTAAGATACTAAATAGGTGGCTGCTATACATGAGGAGATCGAGGTAATTGAAAGAAACAATACATGGTTACTTATTGATCTCCCATGAGGTCATAAAACTATTGATGCAAAATGGCTTTTCAAAACAAAAATGAAATCAAATGACAAGGTGGAGAGACATAAGGCAAGATTGATGGAAAAAGGGTTCAAGCAAAGACTCGGCTATGATTATCATGAGGTTTTTTTGACTTATTGCTTGAATGGAAACTATTAGACTAATAATTGCCTATGCTGCTCAGAATCATTAAAAGATCTATTAAATGGATGTAAAGTCAGCCTTTCTAAATAGTCCACTTGTAAGAAGAGCAATTTGTTAAACAACCTCTTGGATCCACAAA